AGGTGTGTTTCCTATGAATCAGTCACAATATGTTTGGTAAGATTGTAATGTAACTTGTTTTTCGAAACAATAATTACCACAATGGCATTAACCCTATTTGTTTAACTTATCATCCAGAAGGAATTTGAACCAACCAACTACTCCATGGACCAACCTTCCCTACACAAGTTTAATGGCGACTCACGTTTTGTCAATGAAGTTGAAACAGGCAAACAAACAAACAAACAGCCCACTAGCCCCCAAGTTATTGAATCCCATAAATATGGCTTCTCAATTCTTCTTTGCTAAGCAACACAGCTAGCGAAACGTCCATCGGTCCATGGAAATAGAAAAAGGAAATGAAGGAAAAATAATCATGATGGTTGGTTAGTAGGAAATTTCAGTAGATTTGCGGTCCCGATATTATAGTCGATTAGTCGTTCTTCCCCCTTATCGCTTTCCAGGAAAAATCCCGATTTCCTGGAAAACCCACAGAATTCTGATTTGATTATTTGAAGAATCAAAAGATCTAGCCTTGTTCTTCCCCCTGACGGACACCAGGAGAAGGTCAGGAAAATTGTCGATCGATCAACATAAACAATGGGGCAGAAACAGTCCAAGGACGAATTGGTGTACCAGCAAGTGAGTTACGGCAACGCCGAAGGCATCAAAACCCTTTGCCGGGAAGGCGCTGGCCTCGAGGTAATCAGGGGGATTTCCCAGTTGATTCTCCTGTGTTGTTATATTCTTATTCGTTTTTTTTTCCCCGTCTGTGGGGATTGATTTCATTTCGATCCGCTGTGCTTTGGGGTTTCCAGTGGATCGATAGGGAAGGGAAAACGCCGTTGATATTGGCGTGCATGAACTCTGAGCATTACAATGTCGTCAAAACCCTGATCGAGCTCGGTGCTAATATTAATGCCTATCGTCCCGGTACGCGGTGTTCTGGTTCCTGCAATTGCCCATTTTACTCTTTCTGCTTGTAAGGTCTTAGATGGATGATGTTGATCTTGATTCCAACCCTGGTTGAAGTTGGATTTCTGTGAGCTCAAGGCTTACCATTGAGTCTTTAGGGTTGGACGAATTGAGCCCCTAATGTTGGCTATTTCTGATGGGTTATTAGGTTTTAAAATCAACTTCTGGTTTGGCTGCAGGTCGTGGTGGAGGAACTCCATTGCATCATGCAGCTAAAAGAGGACTTGAGCAGACGGTTAAACTACTTCTTTCACATGGAGGTAGTAAGGACTTCAGCATGAGCCTTCTCTGGCCATTTTGGTGTTATGTTTATCAAAGGGGATAGTTCTAAACTGCTTGTGTTTGCAACTATTCAGCTAATGCATTGGTAATGAATGACGACTGCCTAACACCTCTTGAAGTTGCCAGGATAAAAGGATACACCAATGTAGTTCGTGCGATTGAGGTATTCTTTTTAAAATTTTGGATGTGTTCACCTGGACTCGCTAGTACTGTTCCCCCTTGTTAGATTAGTTCTGTGGCTGTACTGATTCTTGGCTTTGCTTACCAGGATCACATATGCTTATTCTCTGGTTGGCTCCGTGAATTTTTTGGCCCCGGATTTCTGGAGGTTGTGGCTCCTCAGTTCTTGTCTAGAAAAGTGTGAGTATGAAAGCCTATATGGCTTCTTCTGGAAGTGATTGCTTTCATACATTTATGGATCTTGTGAGGCATCACATGAGTAGTTTGAAACCATTTAACATGAAGTTTTTCATGTTTCATTTGGTTGCTTTCTTGTCTTAGGTATTTGTCAGTTAATGTTACTTAGAACTAGATATTTATACTTTTTTTATCAATGCATATATGCAGATGGGTTGTTATTTTACCAACTGGCTCCCGCAATGCCAGACAGCCTTTCAAGTTGGAGCTTGCCATATACACTAGTTCACAGGTAATGCATGCACGCGTAACCTATCTGAAGGGAGGAATGACCTAAGACTTCCATACTCTTCCCTGCAATTGAAATTGTTTTCATTTTCAATCTCTTAAGTCTTACCTTATCAGTTTTCTTTTAGGTGATATAATATTATGTTAGAATATAGTAGGGACATTGGAAATTGCTCTCCATAAGTTCATAGTGATTGCTCTCAGATGAAGCAGGTTTCTGGTTTTCTGTCATTTCTGTGATCAGCTTACAGTAGCTGAAGAGAGGACTTTATTGAATCTATATATTATTTTTGTTTCTTGAACAGTAATATATAATCTAGCTTTCCCAGTTAATAAAATTTTGGTGAAAGTGCAGGTTGCCAAACCTCGTATGGTGATCTCCTTGTGGAAAGCTAATCTTGAGGAACCAAAGTTGCATCAGGCTGATCCTTCAGTAGCAATTGTTGACAATTCGAATAGTAATTTCTCTATCCTGAATTCTGTTCTACTTCTTTCTGGCAATTGTCAAACTTCAGTGTAAACCTTCCTTTGCTCTTTTAGCATTGGATTTTATCTTTATATTGCATTCCTTCCATAGTGTTCTCTATTTACCTCAGATTTTATGTTCATTCATAGTGCCAAGGGGCCGGAGGCGGAGACGAATGAGGCATAAGCCTCCTACAGTTAGGCGTAAGTATAATGGTCGCTGAATTTCTTATGGCTAGATACCATTAATCTCCGCGTCATGATATGAAAAGCTAGTGATTACGTGATTGAACTCTGGGAGACTGGGACTATAGCATCACCGTTTCTCCAGCCTCTATGTGTAGCCTTTTCAAATATCTAGGAAGATTCCTTATTTAGCAACTATAGATTTTTTAAAATGAAAAAAGTTTAGCTACATGTCTTGGATTTATCAAACCAAACCACATTTTATGTGCATGCAGAAACACGGATCAAACTTGCTGCTGGAAATGAAGGCGACAGGCAACAGCTGCAATGGTTTTGTGATGCATGCAAAGGAATTCCTCAGGTTATAAGCATGTTCTGCAATAATGTGCTTTGTTGTTACGTGGTGGTATAATCATGAATTACTTATTTGTGTTTAGAGAACGGAAAAAGTTGCTTCTGAGGTTACATGAGTTGTTTCATATATGGCCTGGGTGTACAGACAATTGCATGCCTGTTATTTTTTGTTTTCCTCCTAATTGAAAATCCCATGGTTAACTATATATATATTTTATGGTTTGGTTAACTATATTTTTATCAATGATAATGAAATATTATTTGTTATCAATTGTACTTGATGCTTTCTGTTATATATCAAGAGCAAAACACCTCATAACATGAACCTTTGGCACAGGCAACCCATCTTCCTCAATTTCTGCATAGTTCACAGCCTTCAGCTTCTGCACCTCCACCTCTTGATGATGCCGAATTGGCAATGGCCATGAGTGCCTCTTTCCAGTCTTCTATAAACGTGAGCCCAGCTGCAATTACCAGCAGCGAATCAAGCGCCGCTGCCTCCATTAGTGCAAATAACTTTGTGAAGGGGAGCAGCAGCCAAGGTCCACCTTCTGAAGCGAGTTCCAGCAAGTGGCAGCCAGTGCACGAATCTGGCAGTAGCAGCAGCAATTCCAAGCAGCAACCTGAAATCCATAATAATGCTACCAACTCCGCTGATGTCTCAACAGCGGCACCTCAATCATCTAGCTTGGCCCCACCATCAGCTCCACCGCTTGTTGATGCAATTGTGGAAGAAGGCCCCATTCACTATCCAAGAATAGATTTCGACGCTGTTGATATGTCTTCCGCAGAACCAATTGTGGAATCGCCAGTCAAAGCTGACGACAAGAAGGAAGAAGGGGGATCTTCTGTGTGTGTGATATGTTTGGATGCGCCCGTTGAAGGGGCTTGCGTCCCATGTGGCCACATGGCTGGATGTATGTCTTGTTTGAAGGAGATCCAGGCCAAGAAATGGGGTTGTCCGGTGTGCCGGACCAAGATTGATCAGGTTGTAAGGCTGTATGCTGTTTGAACTTCTGCATCACCAGCTTTTGTTTCGTCATGTAAGCGGGTGAGTATTATTATTTTGGTCATTTAAGGAAAATCCCTTTGAGCAAGCAAATTACAGCGAGAAGCGTTGTTAATCTTTCAACTTGTTTCCCTGTAGGTTTCCTGAGTACTATTTATCACTGCACTGTTGGAAAGTTTCTGATCTGTTCAGGGGACCATCAACCATAGGGCAGGTAAGTCTTGCCTTGTGAAGGAAGGTATATCCTATTATTGGCAGCCATGTCAGCAAGAAGTTTGTATATATATATCACCGAGTATCCTCATAGATGAAGTTCAAAAATAGTATTGTAGCTTGTGAAGTGTGTCTATGTATACCTTTGATCTGGTGTACAGTTGTTTCTTAAAAGTACCTCGTGAACATCGCTGATGTGTATGAATGATCGAGGATCAATATCAGCTTGTGCTACTTCATCCAAATATTTACTCTCCCAGTTTTTGGGCATGCAATGTTATATGTGATGTATGAAAGAGAGCCCAAAATTATATTTTGCTCAAATTGATATTGGTGGTTAATGTTCATATATGTTCAGTTGGTTTTCAGGCTAGCCTTATAAGGACGGATTATATTGAACATAATAGATTTATACCTTGTACTGTAAAAGAGTACTATAATCCAGGTTGCCCACGGTGGTGAAGGTGATGGATGGACTCATCTGAAGCAGGTTTTAAGTTATATCCACATTCTCACTTGTTTCCTCTTGAATGCACCCTTTCGCCACTTCCTAAATCCGAAGATGTCTTTGTTTGTCTTGGATAGTCTCTTAAGGTAGGTAGAGTGTAAGCAGAAGTGGGTGGCTTCTTATTTATGCAACGGTAAAATTCTATAAAATTACCGAACAATGATGTGGCAAGTAGTAATGGATATTTGGCAGGTCAGCAACCAAACTCACGCCAAGTAGGAGTTTATCCTTATCTATAGGAATGAGAGAGTGGCTGCGAAAGATTTTCTCGTCACGAGACTAAAGATCATTGGAAATGTCTTGATATAGTGCCTATCAAAATACTTTGTTAGTTCTTATATTGATTCAACAAGTCTCCCACTCTTAAATGTTTTATAGGTGTGGAACTATATCTTTATATACATTCGAAAATCCTACCTGATAAAGTGGTATAAAAGATATTGGGGATAAAAAAAATGGTAAATACAATATATTAGTCAGAACTATTAAGTAGCAGGGAATTATAGTAACAAATATCGAAATACAATTATTATCCTTAAGACGGTTTGGGATAGGGTCAGTAACCATTGGTTACTGACCTATCAGTAAATACACGGGAACCGTAGATCTGAGGATGGAGCAATCGGGTGGTTGGCTGGACGCAGAGGTGGGGAGGGGCATTTTTGTCCGTTTTTGTATTTTTAATTTTTTTTTATTTATTCCGCATTTCAATGCTGACTATTCAATGAAAGAGAAAGAATAACATTTTCTCTGCCACTTTATTTTCTTCTTTCTCTCTTCCTTTTTCCAATCTCTTTTCAGATCTTTTCTTTATTCCTTCTCTCTTACTTTTTCTCTCACAATCTCCTTTCAAATCTAGATCTGCTCTCTTCCATCTTTATTTTTTTCTCTAGCAATCGACTAATAAAAATTGAAGTCACCCTCTTTAATTGCGTTTCTTCTCTTCATCAACTCGTTGGCTTTAATTTCGATCTTTCTCCTTTTTTGGCATTTGGTGTTCTTTGGTTGTGGATGAAATGAGATGAGACAGAAGACAAGTTTTTTTTTCTCTCCCTCCTTTGTTTTTTCCCCTTTCTTTTAAGTAATATATATTGGTATTACCACACTATACCATATAGTATTATGTGGTAACGAAATATATATTGGTATTACCACTCTATACTATATGGTATTACCACACTATACCATATGATATTGGGTGGTAACAAAATATATATTGATATTACCACACTATACCATATGGTATTGGGTGGTAACGAAATCTATATTGGTATTACCACTCTATACCATATGGTATTGGGTGGTAACGAAATATATATTGATATTACCACACTATACCATATGGTATTGGGTGGTAACGAAATATATATTAGTATTACCACTCTATACCATATGGTATTACCACTCTATACCATATGGTATTGGGTGGTAACGAAATATATATTGATATTACCACACTATACCATATGGTATTGGGTGGTAACGAAATATATATTGATATTACCACACTATACCATATGGTACTAACGAAATATATATTCATGTGGCAAAAAATTTCATACCATATGGTATGCTCTTATTTAATACCAGTCAAATACCATATGGTATAGACTGGTAATAACTGACAAATTTTTTTGTGTCCAAAAAATATCAAAGTGGATATCATTTTGAAGAGCACAATTAATCTGATCTAACTGTGCAAAAAAAATTAAATTTCGACTTAAAACGAGTGAGAAATCGTCCGTTAAAGATTAAGGGAAGGAAAATTAAATGTTTTGCGAGGAGAGAGAATGAGGCGCTGATGTGGTACGGTCAAAAGTCAGCCTCTGCAATAAATAGAAGAAAGTGCAATTTTACTGTACTGCCCTTTTCACATTTAATTTAAATAAAAAAGTGTCTGACACGTGGGGACCATAGAAGGGGTTACTGATGGGTTACTAACCCATCAGTTACTGACCCGATCTGGACCCCCTTAAGACCATAACTATTGTTGCGAGTCAATATATGACTCATAGCCCGTTACCGTTATTAAATTTTTAACGGAGACTGCCACATCAGCATTCATATTAGCGTCCACATCAGAAAATATTAAAATAATAATAATTTATTTCAGTAATCATTATTATTATTATAAAAAAAGAAATAGAAGATCTCCTCCCACACACGCCTTCTTCCTCCTCCCTCCCATCGTTCTTCTTCCTCTGTTGCACCACTTCGCTGCCACCGTAATTGCTCTAGTTGCTCATAATGGGAAGAACATCCCACAACGATGGCGCACCCCACGAAGAGACTTGGAAGAGCTGCCGCATTTCGCCCTTGCCACATTCTTCCTTGCCACCGGGGAACATCCGTAATTGCGTCCCCTGTTGCGTCGTCGCTGCTAACTCTAATTGAGAAATTGATGATTAAGTTCTTAGGATAGTCAATTAATTAAGTCAATCAAAACCTAATCAGTCGATATGGGCTCTCAAGATGTCCAAGCCTCACCTCATTAACCATTCCAACATCAATTTCGTTAATCAAAACCTAATCGAACTACATGAGGGAAGAAGCAGTTGGTTGACCGCCTATGCAGAAGCACCACTCGAGGGAAGAACAAGTCGACAGGTGGGAAGGAGAGCTTGACGACAACCTTCTCTTTCTAGAGAGGGTAGCTTTTATCGCCGCAGTCTCCCTTGGTCGATCAGGAATTGAACGCTTCCGCCTTGGGTAGAGAGGAAGGGAATCACCGCTTCCGACGACGACGAACGCTTCCTCCTTGGATAGAGAGGAAAGGGAGAAGAAGAAGAGAATATGGGGTGACCGGTCTAATTTTTGTTTTTATTTTTATTTTCTAATAATTTATTAATATATAAGTTATCAAGGTTGACCGGCTGATGTGGCATTTTTCGTTGACTGCCACATCAGAATATCTCTTCCACGTCAGTATAACATTTGCCAACTCACCATCATCTAACGGAAGTGTTAACGGAGACTGAACGGTGATGAAAGAGGTCGACCTTCATCTCCCAGAACGGTGACGTTTTTGTCCCAAAGCCATACGACAGACACGCTGCGCTTAAACTCCACACGACGACGTCTCGGACTTCAAACGTCACTACACAACATCGTCCTTCTAAGTCTTCTCCTCTGAGCAAAAGAGATCGATTCACTCAACCTAGCCTCCCACCTACAAGGAGCGGCAGGAAAGCTCAAATCAGTTCGTCGGTGATGAAGCACAGACATCACAGACAACCTACCAAGACATGATGAAGATCAGTCGGCACAAATCTCGTGCAATGGTCAAGACAGCTCTTTAGGTATAAATAGATTCTTATTTGTTCAATTAGAACTCGACTGTGATAGCGAGAGAGTTAGGAGAATTCTTAGTCTATCTTGAGTCCAGTTGTAAATCTCTTCAGTTTCTTGATTCACAGTGATTATTCTGGGTGAACTAAGCTTGGGAAGAGTGTTGTTGTTTATGTGTCTTCAAAGTGTCAACTTCGTTGGCATGACACAGAGTGGTTTAGTAGTTTCTTTGTTGTAATTCTCCCTTCGATCAATAAAATTAGTTTGTTCATTGTGTTCCAGCCAATCATCTGCTTCTCAAAATCCAACAATTGGTATCAGAGCTGGGTCTTTGAAGGATTAAACTTCGCCAAAGACGATCAAGGACATGGCTGGAGTCATGGCTGCCTCGGCTTCTTATTCAACAAGTACCAATCCACCATGGTTCGACGGCACGGATTACACAGTTTGGAAAAAGAGGATGAGGATCTACTTGCGAGGTGTCGACGGCGGATTGTGGGCGATTGTCAAGAATGGGCCAATCCCTATGGATGATGACGAAGAAGAAAAATGGGAGGATGATCAGAAGTTGTCTTCTCAACAGGACTCGAGGGCAATGCATATCCTTTTTTCTGCACTCAGTCCAGAAGAAAGGAGTCAAGTGGCCCAATGTGAGACAGCCAAAGAGATTTGGGAGTCTCTTGAGACTACCCACGAAGGTACGTCAGAGATAAAAGAAAGTAGGATAGATGTGTTATTGAATGAATATGAATCTTTTGAAATGAGCACTGGTGAGTCCATCACTAGTATGTACAAAAGGTTCAATGACCTGATAAATAGATTAAAAGGTTTAGGGAAAACATTTCCAACTAAAGATCTAGTTAGAAAGATTCTACGAAGTCTTCCTAGAGAATGGCTACCTAAACGAACAACTATAGAAGAAGCAAAGGATTTAAATGTTTTATCAATTGAAAGGCTTGTTGGTTCTCTACTAAGTCATGAGGAGGTTATCGTTCAGATGAATAGAAAAGATAGCAGAAGAAAGAAAGTAATTGCTTTCAAGGCACAAGACTTTGAAAGTGAGTCAGAATATGAAATAGGAGAGGAATTTGAGAGGGAATTTGCCATGATTAGTAGAAAATTTCACAAAATGCTAAAAATGAAAAGAGACTTTGATGATAGAAGGAATCGTGGAAGTTCAAGACAGAATAATCACGTTTATGAGTCAGGAAGGCGTCGAGATGGATTTGAAAAAACACAAGGTCGGAATTCAGATAGAAATCTAGGAGGTAGTGTTCAAAATCATGACAAGAGTCAGTTCAGAAAATTGGACAAACCAACCGAAGATCGTGAAAGGTACACTCAGGAAACTAAGGAAGACCATAGGTCTTCCGGTGAGAAGGATCTAATGATTTGCTTTAAGTGTGGAAAGTCAGGTCACATGAGGTCGAGATGCCCTCTGAATTTAAAAAGGCAAGAAAAGGCAATGGCGGCTTCTTGGAGTGATTATAGCTCTGAGGAGGATACTGAAGCAAGAAATCTGGCTTACATGGCCTTTGCCACCAAAGATGACAATGAGTCAAGCTCACTAGCGAGCTGTGACCACACACTTCCCTCAGGCTACCAGGTAATATCAGACTCAGAATCTGAAAAGTGTGACTTACTTGAACCAAAAAACGAGTTTTTGCATGCTCTAAGAAATCTTCAGGAGGAATGTAATAGACTTAGAAGTAGGTACTGTTTACTAATGACTGAGAATCATGCTATGAGGAAGGAACTAGGAAATCTTAAAAGAGCTGTGTCATTCCAGCATGAGAGTGAAATCAAACTCAAAAACCAAATTTTTGAACTAACTGATGAGAATCATGAGTTGAAACAAGATCTTAGTGACTTGCATCAATTAAAATTTGGAAGTCTTAGCACAAAGAACAAGTCTCACTCACCAAGAAATACTTTTAGAAATGCTGAGCATGATAAAGGAAAGCATCATAAGAGAAATCAAAAGTATGCAGAAGTATATGTGTGTTCTTACTGTAATCGAAAAG